CCCCCCCCCCCCCCCCCACCTCCCCCTCACACTCCCCCAACTTCGCAGGTTCTCTCGGGCAGGGTGATATGTGGCAAGAGCTCCAAAGAGCACACCGTCTCTGCGATGTTCTCGGAAGCCTTTCCTGCTGCCCCAGAGCCTGCCATAATGCGAGAGCGTTTATGTCTGTGAGCGGATGCGGTCGTTTAGGTCGGAAAACCTAGCCTTTTCTCCACCATGTACATGCAGAAAATGACCAGCTCGCGCTGCTCCCTTGCTGTTCCGCCCTTGACCTAACCTTCGTGGCTCAGATCATAAGTCTATCTATCTATCTGTCTGTCTGTCTACCTGTCTACCTACCTACCTACCTACCTACCTACCTACCTACCTACCTACCTACCTACCTACCTACCTACCTACCTACCTACCTACCTACCTATGCATATACATTTGTATATATATATATATATATCTATCTATATATGTATATGCATGAGTATTTCTCTGTGATGCTGCCTGCATCCTCACAGGGTTGAATTTCGGGTCTGAATACCTGATGGGACTATGTCTATAACGATTTAGGATATTGTCAGTTGAGGGCCTGGGGGTTACAGTCAGTGTGTAGGGCTTACTAATCTTTTAATATATATATATATATATGTATATACTCCCCCCAAAAACAACTTGCCTACAGCTATTGCAAGACCCAATGAGGACTTGTGCCGCCCGCAACGGCCACACAAAGATTGTGCGTCGGCTTCTTCAGACTCGAGCGCGGGGGACCAATCATGCCCTGCCCTGCGCAGCGTCTCGGTCTGCACCTTAAGCCCTGAGTTGTGTGACGGTTTAGGGTTTAGGGTTTAGGGTTTAGGGAGTTCTCTGCTTAGAGGACAGGTTTCCTTCGGAATGGTCGGATTCCAAAGGCTCCTTTGTCTCTGTGTGTGTCTTTCTGTGAGGGGCTTTTGATCCTGTTTGGGGTACAGTAGAGGGTAGTTCGGGGGTCGAGGAAGACCCTCAGCGACCTTGTACAAGTCGTTTAGACACACCGAAACCTCGCAGCCAATAGGTGGCCGAGGGCCATTCTTCCATCGTTCGCTTGTTGCTCCACGCCGGCGCGAACCAGAACTTCCCGGACGCGCACCTGAGTTTTGAAATGACTTTAGGGGTTTAGGATTTAGGATTTAGGGTTTAGGGTAGGGCCCCAAGCCCAAACACTAAACCATTTCAGGAAGAGGGGTCTGTAAGTGTACACGTGTCCTCTGAGGCTTCCAGGAAGGGGTTCTCTGGGTTCCACCAGGGGCTTTGGGTTTCCCCAGGTTTGCCGCCGTATCACTGTTGCTTCTCTCGGGAGGAAGATCCTGTGCAAAGCTGAAGAAGAATCAAAGGAATCCTGCTTTAGACCTAAGCCCTAAACCCGAACTACTCTTGATGATAAAAAATCCTGCATTAGCTTAAGGACCCTAAACTATGGGAATTATGGTACATTCCTTATTATGGGCAATGCAGGATTTATATCATCCACCGTATGGTACCTGGGTTTCGGGCCGGGGCCAGAGCCTAGGTACGGCGTCCCATCCCTGGTCCTAGCAGCAAACGGGGGCTACCACGACATCCTGGAGCTTCTGCTCCAGTTTGGAGCCGACAAAGATTCGGCGTGCACCAGCGGCTTCACAGCCCTCGTGGCCGCGATTTGAGACATGGAGGGGGTTGTTTTGTACCCTTGTGGTTATTTTACTGTACCCTTGCGTATTTCCTCTTATCCTGTATCCTGTTAGTCCAAAAACAATTATTGTGGGAGTAGGTGCCCTCACAAGCGCATGCCAGGCCCTCATTCGCGCATCTCACCAGGGTCACGTGAGTATCGTCCGGGCGCTCCTCCAGTCCAAAGCGGCGGTGAACGCGGCAACCCTGAACATGGACACGGCCCTCATGCGCGCAGCTGGGCAGGGCCAGATGGAGGTTGTGCGGTTGCTATTGGCGGCCGGGGCTGATAGGGATGCAGTGAGCCACAATGGGGACACGGCCTTGATTCGAGCAGCTTGCAATGCTAGGCTGGACGTGGTCCGCTTGCTGCTACAAGCGGGCGCTGACAAAAACCTTGCGAGCAACAACGGCGAAACAGCCCTCAGCCGAGCACAACGCAAGGGCCACAAGGAAGTCGAGCGTTTGCTCTCCGAGGACGCTCCGGCAGATCTGGATGACGACTCGGATCCTCCTGAGATGAACGACATTCGGGGAGAATGCGAAGAGGGTCTGGGTCTTGTAGCGCCAGACTCGAAGTAGAGACAGCTTCTTTCCTGAGCTTACCGGAACTTGTAAGTTAAATGCATATATATATATATATATAGACTAAATATATGCCCATGTCAAGATAGCGTTGACGGGTTTGTGTGCTAGCGCTACTTCGAAAGCTTCTTCTTAGTGTAGCCGGCGCCCAGGATGCAGCTGAGTGTATTATAGTCCGCACATGGCCATGTGCCATGTGCGGAATGAGCTGCTCGAAAATTGATGCAGCTGTGACCCAACACGTACAGCACATCCGAGACTGGTTGGGAACTCGGTCCAAATACCTTTTTCATGCGCCCCTCCGCGCAGAGGACGCGGGATCTCGTAAGACAGCCGGCTCAACAATTTGCTGCAAAGCTACAGTGCAGATACCCTAAGTTTGGCCTAAACCCTATACTGCCTATACTGTAGAAGCCTAAATAATTACCAAGATTATTCCTTAGGTTTCCTTGTTATAATTATAGTAGAAAGGAACCCAAAACCCTATTCTACTTATTAAGGCCCCCACATTAAGGACCCGAAGCCTCGAAGCTCGAAGCCAGAAGCATCCAGTACGGACGCCCGGGGCGTCTCCGCAGTCAAGCACTCTGTTGTGGCATCAAGGGGGCCAAAGGCCTCCCAAGCCACTAGGGCTTCGGGTTTAGGGATGTTTAAGTTTAGGGTTT